AAGAAGGATAACTGCCATTCCTTGGATCAAGAGATGTTCAGCAGCACCAAGGCGTGGTGGAGGGCGTGGTGGAGGACGTGCTGGCACCACTCGACACAGTCACCAGGTATACAACATCAATACGTAAAGTCACACATTGATTATTTCACCACGTCATTCATGCTCTTGTTAGTTCACACGCGTGCACGCGCACACACAAGCGCACACTCGTATATACACACACACAGTGAAGAGGCGGGGCCAGGAGCTGTGACTCGACCCTTGCGACCACAACTAAGTGAGCACACACGCAACCACAACTAGGTGAGCGCACACATACACACAGTAGGCGGGGCCAGGAGCTGAGTCTCGACCCCTGCAACCACAATTAGGTGAGTACATACTACTACTACTACAGTGTGAAGGAAGTGGAATGACGCGGACGAAGAAATGGATTGTTATTATTATGGGTGAGAGCTAAATCAGTAGGAATTATACAATGCCTGGGGGGGGGGGAAGGAAGGTATTCAGATTTAATTCAGGGAACTGGAGCACAGAGCTAATTTCATAGATCAAGAGCTCCTGACCAGCGAGAAATAGAGGAAGAATCTATACCAAGCTATAGGAGTATGATGAAGCCTAAGAGACCAGGAGCCGAGACTCGACCCCCCATCCTTCGAAGTCATCAATAGGTTAATATATGATCCTTTTCACATTTACCCCCGGAAAAGGGAGGGCCTTGACGCTTGTGAAGGTCTTTTGATCCAGGGAATTGGGAATTAACACTATGTCATGAATATAATACACTGTCCTGGACTTATAAGAGCTGATGATCTTTGTCACCAGCAGTAACAGTCTGGTTAATCAGGCTCTGATCCACCTGGAGGCCTGGTCAAAGATTGGGCGGGGGCGCTGACCCCCGGAACACTCTCCAGGCTCACCTGCTACCTCGTTTAACCCCTTCCCTCCCTTCCCCTCTCTATTATTTTTGTGAACATATACTTAAAAAATGCTTAAAATGGAGAAAATAATGAACAAGACAAGAGAACACGAACATGAACAGTGATCTTTACACTCAGAGACAGAAAACGAACCAAGATAATTTAAAAGGTCATCTTGAGACGTTGTCCGGTGATAATATATAAAATATATATATAAATATATATATTATATATATTATATATATATATATATATATATATATATATATATATATATATATATATATATATATTATATATTTAATATATATATATATAAAAAGTAAAAGGACACAAGTGCAAATAATGTGACATTTATTGTGGCAAGTTTCGCTCTCCAGGAGCTCCTGGAGAGCGAAAACGTTGCACAATAAATGTCACATTAGTTGCACTTGTGTCCTTTTACTTTACATATGTCGGTAATTCTACCAACTTTATTACTAATATATATATATATATATATATATATATATATATATATATATATATATATATATATATATATTATATATATATATATATATATAATGTTTATATATATATATTATGATATATATATATGTATAATATATATATATATATATATAATATATATATTATATATATTTATATCTATATATATATATATATATAATGTGTGTTATAATATAAATTATTTATAATTATATATATATATATAAAAATTTATATTAAAATTTCAACTGGCCGATTCCCACCAAGGGAGGGTGGCCCGAAAAAGAAAAACTTTCACATCATTCACTCCATCATGCTTGCCAAAGGGTGCTTTACACTACAGTTTTTAACTGCAAACTTAACACCCTCCCTTAGATAATAGATAAAACTTGCTATTTTGGTTAACAGTAACGTTTCTTTCGAATAGATTGTTAAGTTACAACCCTGAATTAAGGGAAAGATCCTATAGATTCCCTTAAAACAGAGAAAGCAAATGGGATAGTAATTATGGACAAGGTAGATTATAGTGGAAAAAATTAGTTATTAGAAGACGGGGGAACCTACGTGCCTCTTAAGGATGATGTGAGACCTACTTCCCTCTCTAAGTCAGGTTTTTGGCTGGTAACAGAGGAAAAATGTGGAGTTAATATAGAGTGTTAAGTATATGTAACATGTTACAGTGCTGAGTGTAGATAATATGTTGTATCAGAGGAGCTTGTCTGAAGTCTCTCTCATAGAGGCGACTGCTCAGTTGTTCCCAACAGTTGTTCAATTATTGTTTATTGTACTAGCACAAGATTCCTGGTTGTGAAGATGAAGACACACGTGCGATAGTTCGATATGTTTACTGAAGAAACGTTTCGCCTACACAGTAGGCTTCTTCATTCAAATACAGAAGAAGCAGGTGTAGTAGTGAAATAAAGATGTAATCAGTTCAACCTTGGATAAATAGTATTTGAGGTGATCAGTCCCTCAGCCTGAAGAGGTCAGCTCCATAGTCTGAAACGATATCGTTCTGGCTTTAACGTTGCACAATGCCATACAGATCAATGGAGCCGCAAAATAGGGCTGTTTCTTTAATTTACTTGATACAAAAACAATGGTGGTCGGGTCCCTTCCGTACTCTGTTGCCCAAGTTTTTTATCTCACAATAACATGACAACATCCTGTCAGGGAGAAGCAAACATTGCCAGCTCACTACCTAGTGACGTTCACTATAAGACTCCAGTACATTGTTTACTTTATGTGCACTGATAACCTTACACCAGAAAATATGTGCCTGTAAATATTGTTATTCTCTACGTGGGAGTAAGCATTATTGTGTGTGTGTGTGTGTGTGTTGTGTGTGTGTGTGTGTGTGTGTGTGTGTGTGTGTGTGTGTGTGTTTAAATATACATTTTTTTTACAGATTTATATAACATACCTTCAAGAAAATGTATGTAAATTTACAGTAAACGCTCAGAATTTAGAGTTGGGACGCTCCAAAGAAAATTAACGTCACAAATCAACGTCATAAATCAACGTAATAACCGAAAGTCATAGATGGGGGATAAGAGGAACGGCTGAGAGTACCGTCTCCCCCCCCCCTCCACCCTCACACTCCTACGGACTCCAGATGTCGGCTGTGATTCTCCTTAACATTGTGCAGACGTACCAGGAAGACAGAGGAAAGAGCAACAAGGGAGGGGGGGGGGGTGTTGAGAGTGTGAGCAGAAGAGAGTGAATGAAACGAGAGTAGAACGGAGAAGCTGGAGAGAAAGAGAGCAGAAAGAACAGGTAAGCGTGGAAGGAAGTTAATTGCCACCAATCAATATAATATCATTTTACTACATTTAATTTCTTACGAGGTTCTCAACGTTAATTTCTCAAGGCTTCCTGTACACTCATGCTATATTTTCCAGAGTTTACCTACCTGGAGTGTTGCGAAGGTCAGCGACCTCGCGGCCCCGTCCCAAACTAATTACGAGATATGTCTCCTTGTATGTTGAACCAGCTGCCAGAACCCTCACTACCTTGTATGTTGAACCAGCTGCCAGAACCCTCACTACAACACAATACATATCGGCTTCATTTCTGACTCTAGGTGGAGCTTTATTACTAAGTCACTTGAGAAAGCTCTCGCCACGTAGCCCAGTGGTGAGAGGCGCGATTCCCACCACTGGGGTCCGGGGTTCAAGACCCGGACGAACTACAAAAAAAAAAAAAAAAAAAAAACCTACTCCACTAAGAGCGAAAAAGTCGTGTATTATTTCATTATTATTTTTATTATTTTCACATGGACGCTAAACCTGTACGAGGCAAACAGCGCCTGGAGAACCAGAGGCAAAGTTTAATTAGAAGAGGAGGAAGAGAGCTCCAATACCTTAGATCAAGAACCATTGGTACACTAAGGGAAAACACCATAAGTGTCCGGGGCCCAAGACTGTTCAACAGCCTCCCATCAAGCATTAGGGGAATTGCCAATAAACCCCTGGCTGCCTTCAAGAGAGAGCTGGACAGATACCTAAATTCAGTGCCGGATCAGCCGGGCTGTGGCTCGTACGTTGGACTGCGTGCGGCCAGCAGTAACAGCCTGGTTGATCAGGCCCTGATCCACCGGGAGGCCTGGTCATGGACCGGGCCGCGGAGGCCTTGATCCCCGGAATAACCTCCAGGTAAGCAGGTAACTAATACTACTCAGCGAGAGAAAGAGACAGAGAAAGAACTACAATACAAACCCACATTAGTTATTACAGTAATGACTCACGAAATCGTAATGACACGATTGACAACTCACTCGCCGCGAGTTCAATCCCCGCCCGTGGTATGGTAGCATTACAGTAATACCAGTAGCTAATAAAGTGTTCCTACCTGTAACATGCCTGTGGCTGGTTTCCAAGGGATCATCTATACTCGCAGCCCCGCCTGAGGCCTGATCAACCTGGCTGTTGGTGCCAGCGGCTCACAGGCCTACACAACCTGCTTGAGCACTCCTAAACGCTAAATCCGTGTGGGTCATTCAGGGCAAGTAGTGGTGAAGGCTCTATCCTACACCCACTAATGGCAGGGTCATCATTAGTACACTAAGAGAAAACACCATAAGTGTCCGGGGCCCAAGACTGTTTACCAGCCTCCCTCCAGCCATAAAGGGGAATTATGAATAGACCCCTGGTTGTCTTCAAGAGGGATCTGGATAAATACCTAAAGTCGGTGCCGGATCAGCCAGGCTGTGGTTCGTACGCTGGACTACGTGCGGCCAGCAGTAACAGCCTAGTTGACCAGGCCCTGATCCACCGGGAGGCCTGGTCGTTGACCGGGCCGCGGGGACGTTAATCCCAGGAACACCCTCCAGCCTGACCAGTCAGACTGTTAGTGATCGCCCTCTGGTGCATGTGGAATTTTTGTTCTAGTGGAGTCTCACATATATGATGGCTCAACCCCCTGCAACCATATATAGGTCAGCATGAATGTGCACGCACGCACGCACACACACACACACACACACACACACACACACACACACACACACACACGCACACACACACACACACACACACACACACACACACACACACACACACACACACACACACACACACAATTACTTACAGACTATTACTGCTGTTGCACTCCAACACTCAACTGCCTTACCTGTAGAAGGAAATAAACATCTTAATTAAGAAAAATAGCAGCTTTAAGAGCTGTTACCAATGGCATGTATAAACCACTCTACATACCTAACTTATCAAGCAACATGAACATTAAACTGTGCAACCTCAAGCACAAATATCACTATTAATATATATATATATATATATATATATATATATATATATATATATATATATATATATATATATATATATATATATATATATATAATATATATATATATAATATATATATATATATATATTCAACAAGTCGATCGTCTCCCACCGAGGCAGGGTGACCCAAAAAAAAGAAAGAAAATCCCCAAAAAGAAAATACTTTCATCATCATTCAACACTTTCACCACACTCACACATTATCACTGCTTTTGCAGAGGTGCTCAGAATATAACAGTTTAGAAGCATATACGTATAGAGATACACAACATATCCCTCCAAACTGCCAATATCCCAAACCCCTCCTTTAAAGTGCAGGCATTGTACTTCCCATTTCCAGGACTCAAGTCCGACTATATGAAAATAACAGGTTTCCCTGAATCCCTTCACTAAATATTACCCTGCTCACACTCCAACAGATCGTCAGGTCCCAAGTATCATTCGTCTCCATTCACTCCTATCTAACACGCTCATGCACGCTTGCTGGAAGTCCAAGCCCCTCACCCACAAAACCTCCTTTACCCCCTCTTTCCAACCCTTTCGAGGACGACCCCTACCCCTCTTTCCTTCCCCTATAGATTTATATGCTTTCCATGTCATTCTACTTTGATCCATTCTCTCTAAATGACCAAACCACCTCAACAACCCCTCTTCTGCCCTCTGACTAATGCTTTTATTAACTCCACACCTTCTCCTAATTTCCACACTCCGAATTTTCTGCATAATATTTACACCACACATTGCCCTTAGACAGGACATCTCCACTGCCTCCAACCGTCTCCTCGCTGCTGCATTTACCACCCAAGCTTCACATCCATATAAGAGTGTTGGTACTACTATACTTTCATACATTCCCTTCTTTGCCTCCATAGATAACGTTTTTTGACTCCACATATACCTCAACGCACCACTCACCTTTTTTCCCTCATCAATTCTATGATTAACCTCATCCTTCATAAATCCATATATATATATATATATATATATATATATATATATATATATATATATATATATATATATATATATATATATATATATATTTAATAATTCGCAAACAGGCGAAATTATTTACAAACATTGTCTCTACGTCCACAGCAGGACTCGAACCTGCTAACTCTGTATCAGAGTTCACAGTACTTTACCACGGAACTAGACCCAAGATAAGTATGGGCGCTTAGCCGAGGCTAAGCGATGTTTCACCATACCCCCGGGCACCATACCCCCGGCACCAAGCTCGTTTTGAAAGTTATTTCATCGAATCCTGCCACATGCAGTGGACAACGAAAGAGATTTGAAATGCTTAACAATTCGCAAACAGGCGAAATTATGTATGTATGTATGTATGTATGTATGTATGTATGTATGTATGTATGTATGTATGTATGTATGTATGTATGTATGTACGTACGTACGTATGTATGTATGTATGTATGTATGTATGTATGTATGTATGTACGTATGTACGTATGTATGTACGTATGTATGTATGTACGTATGTGCGTATGTATGTATGTAATAAAAGTCGTGCCGTGTAAGTAAAACTTGCGATTTTGGCTTAAATAGCAACGCTCTTTTTGCCGAATAAGGCAAGCGAAAATGTGTGTATGCAATAATTTCGCAAAAATCATTCTGAATTTAACGAAAAAAATACATTTCATTGTCTTTATTATTAAATTATTGTAAACTTACCTAAAATATATTTAGCTGGATTAGGCTAAATTAAATTGAGCTTATTATAATAAGGTTACGTAAGTTTTCTAAGGTTCTTTAGGTACAAAATTATTAATTTGTATATAAACATAAATGAAAAAAAAATATATCTTTAAACGTATAAGAGAAAATTTTAGAAAGGACTTAATATTAAATGAGTACTTATTAATTGACCAGTTTTACTTATTCGGCACGACATATATATAAAGTATTTTTTTCGGACGCAGCACTGTTGTGAAGACCCGGTGAGAAAAACCATGACACCTGCCTGGCTAATGTCACCATCAAAGTGACCATCAACACCGCCATAACCAAGCTTAGATAAAACCATCACCATTATGTAGAGCACATATGTTAGGCTCGTCATGGAGTACATGACCAGCCTCCATGTCAGACATGCCTGACTCGTAAAGGTCGAAAGATTAGTATTAAGACTCAAGTCAGAAGTGCGCCATGAGTAGAGGTTGAAGGAATGTACCAGACGACCTTGAAGAACACAAGGACTAGCAGACATAATAATAACAATAATAATAATAATAATCTTCATTTCTACAAGTACATGTACAAGGTATACAGGCCTAGTTGATATCAATGACATACTACTATATAGAAAGCCGCTTGTTGTGCAGAGCATTTCGGGCAAATTAGGTCCATTTTGTCCCCAGGATGGACTCAGAGCAGTCGACTAACACCCAGGTACCTATTTTACTGCTAGGTGAACAGAGACAGCAGGTGTCTTAAGGAAACACGTTTTAATGTTTGCACCCGCACCGGGGATCGAACCACGGGACAACTACAATGTTCAAAATAGGGAGAGGAACTGACAGGGCAAATAACGATAGACTGTTTAAAACGAGAGGAACAGCAGCAAGGAAACACAGACGGAAATCCCCATCCCTCAAAAAAATAATTTGGCTACAAAGATATTTGGAAATACTTATACTGTCTCAGAGTGCAAATTCCATACACAGTTTCAAAATAAGATATGATAAGGTTGGAGAGCCTTGATGTCTCTCAGTAAACTACTTGTAGGTATCCATTAGCAGAGTTTACACTAAGTTCAACCACAGTGCTGCCTGCCACTGGCGCCTCTTAACAAGTCCACTGCCAGGCGTGGTGCCTGGCACCATCAATCACCACGAGAATCTGTCCCCCCCACCTCCTCCTTGCCTTTCTCCCCCCATCCTCCTCGTGAAGTCTGAGGGCACGGAGCAGGCAGGAAGTGAAGCTTCTTGCACTTCCTGCATTTTATATTAAGACAAAATAGTGTGAAATGCGACATCAGTCGAGTCTCTCCTGGACTGAGGCATGACTGAGAGACTCAAGATTTTTTTCCATAAATGGAGTGAAGCCAAAATAGGGGATCAGTCTTTAGCAGCGTACCATAGTCTACCTGGAGGGCATTCCGGGGATCAACGCCCCCGCGGCCAGGTCCACGACCAGGTCTCCCGGTGGATCAGGGCCTGATCAACGAGGATGTTACTGCTGGCCGCACGCAACCCAACGTACAAACCACAGCCCGGCCGATCCTGCACCGTCTTTAGGTATCTGTCCAGCTCCCTCTTGAAGACAACCAGGGGTCTTCCCGTAATGCCCCTTATTGCTGGTGGGAGACTGTTGAACAGTCTTGGGCCCCGGACACTTATTGTGTTTTCTCTTAGTGTACCAGTGACGCCCCTACTTTTCACTGGGGGTATGTTGCATCGCCTGCCAAGTCTTTTGCTTTCGTATGGAGTGATTGTTGTGTGCATATTAGGGACCAGTCCCTCCAGAATCTTCCAGGTGTAGATTATGATATCTCTCTCTCGCCTGCGCTCCAGTGAGTACAAGTCAAGTGCTTCCAGGCCCTCCCAGTAGTTAATTAAGGTGTTTGATGGAACTTATATGTGCAGTAAAGGTTCTCTGTACATTCTCTAGCTCTGCAATTTCATCTGTCTTGAATGGGGATGTTAATGAGTTTGTAGTATACTCAGTCCTAGTTATTATTTCCTCCAGTTTTCCATAACGGAGTAGTTGGAATTTATCTTCATTGAACATCATATTGTTCTCTGTTGTCCATTGGAAAACTTGGTTTATATCTTCTTGGAGCTTTGCTGTGTCCTCAGTGGATGACACTCTCATGCAGATCCTAGTATCATCTGCAAAAGATGATACAGTGGTCACTGGTCAGTGTTGTGTCCCATGTTGTTCACACTGTACTATTATACCACAGTGGTCAGTGCTGTGTCCCATGTTGCTCACACAATGTACTATCGTACCACAGTGGTTAGTGCTATTAAGTACATAAGAAAGGAGGATCACTGCAGCAGGCCTGTTGGCCCATACTAGGCAAGTCCTTTACAATTCATCCCACTAACAAAACATTTGCCCAACCCGATTTTCAATGCCACCCAAGAAATAAGTGACTACCGTGGTGAGAGAAGACCCATAACGGTACAAAAGGGGGGATGATGATAACTGAAGACAGAAAACTATACCAAAACATTCTAAATTAGGCAGCAGTGAGCTGGCGAAGACAATGATGAAGGACTTACATAAGTAACATAAGAAAGGAGGAACACTGCAGTAGGTCTGTTGGCCCATACTAGGCAGGTCCTTCACAGATACAACTTAGATCGAAGGATAATATAAATGAAGTGCATAATATGGGCGGTATTAATAAGCAGATGTAAAGAGCTGTAAAATCCAAAGCAAGACATTTTGAATTCAAAAAAGTTAACGGGAAGCATTTGAGATTAAGACACATGTGCAACATCTGGGTATCTTTATTGTAGACGTTTCGCCATCCAGTGGCTTTATCAATACAAATTCTAGGACATAACTTGAAGACAGTAGAACTATGTACAGAAGATGAGGTAATCAGTCCCTCAACCTAGGAGTAGGTGCGAAGAGCACCATAGTCGTGGAGATTCTGAAGCAGAAGAAAGGACCCTGGCGCTTATATAGTAACGTCAGGTGTAGCAGACGAGGGCATATTCACTGGTAGGCATTTGCTTGGCAATAAATTTGTAGATGAGTGACACAGACTGCCAAGCAGTGTTGTCACGCAATTAAAAACTTTGGTAACCTGAGCCCCGTGCTCTTGTGCAGAACCAGTGATTATCCCTGTGGCTGATAGAATCTTGAAGCACAGATCCGGGCTCTAGGTTGGTAGACAACAACCATCCAGAGATACACTGTCTTCCTCTCATATGAGAGGGAAACGGAAACCGATTAAATGTTTTGCGCTCTGGTTGGATTGACAGTTTGTCTTTCCGCCTAATGAACGTGAAAGACGACAGATAAATCATACAAAATTCTACTTACATTAAGTATACACACATTTTTAGTTCCCCCGAGTGTCTGTTAATAATTCTCTTTCTTGTAACACTTACTTTCCAGTTAATGAGAACTGGAGGCGGGGACGATGATTAGTGGAACTATTAATACAACAAATACTGGAAGAGAATATCAACTTCAACCAGTAACTGAGTCACATGTCTGGATGACATGCATGTTTACACTGACTTACTCAGGAAGCTTTATTAGATTAGCCTGGGGCAGGCGATGACAAGTTACAACTGTTGCTAAGAAAAACATACCATGACTACCTGTGACTGCTTTCTAGAATTCTGCCCTCCCAGCCCTTCACAATGCCAGATCTCCTTCGTTACTGCCTCGTCAATTAAACTGTTGCTGCTAGCGGTCTGTGCTAGCCTACACAGGCATCATAGCCTGGATGAAGTTGCGCTTTCTGGAGGGTAACAGTCCAGTTTCTTTTGGAACTAGACTCATTGCAACAATGTTTACGATATGTGCTGGTAGTGTGTTGAAGAGTCTTGAATCACGGATGTTGACACACTGTTCTCTAATTGTGCCCCCCACCCACCTGGCGTCTGTGTTTTTCCTGGGTTGATCCTTCATTTGCTTTGTGTGTTTCCTGGGTTGATCATTCATTTACTTCTGTGTTTTTCCTGGGTTGATCCTTCATATGTTTCCATATCTCTCTCTCCAGCAAGTTATAGTAAGGTGCATGATATTATTACAGTTGCTGATATTACAATGACAGAGACTCAGAATTCAACAATGAATTGGATACCTGCTGGTGCGAGAATGAGAGAGATCTCTTAACATTCAACAATGAAATTAATATCCCGGGGGTGAAATCTGACCCCGGGGTGACTATGAAGAACTACGTCGTAAACCTTGAAAAGCAGTGAGTCATGTCTCGTAGTAACTGCTTGACAACAGTAGCTGAAACAAATCGAGTTTTGCTCACACACACAAAGGAGACAATCAACTGCAGGTTAATGTCACTAACATGTACAATATGTACGATGATGGAGAAGACTATGGGAAGAGCACCTGGAAAGGAGTGGATTCAGACAACAAGCATCGCTTCTGAGATGGCAAATCGTGTATCACAGTTCTGCTAGAGTTCTATGACAAGATAACAAAAGTTAGGCAGGAGAGAGAGGGACGAGTGGACTTAACATTACTGGATTACAAGAAGGCATTCCATATTGTATACCACAAAAGACTGGCACAAAAGCTAGAGTAGATAGGAATTACAGGGAAAACACTACAGTGGATAAGGAATAAATACTGAACGGGAAGGCAGCAACGAGTTCCTGTCAGGGAAGACGTATCGAAGTGAGGGTATGACGTGTGAAGTTCCACAAGGTTCAGTACTTGGTCCAGCATGGTTTCTTGTGTATGTAAACATGACAGAGAAAATTGAGTCATAGCTGTCTCTGTTTACAGACGATGTGAAACTAATGAGGAGAATACAAACACCGGTAGACCGAAAAAGACTATAAATGGATCTGGACAAGCTGTAAGATTGGTCTGACAACTGTCCATTGCTTTTAAACCCCAGCAAATGCAAGGTTATGCAAACTGGAGAAGGGCAGAGACGTCCGCAAACAGTGTACAGGCTAGGGGGACAAAGGCTGCAAAGCTCCCTGGAAGAGGACCTCGGGGTAAGTACAGTTCCGAGCATTTTGCCTTAGGCACACATCAGGCGAGTAACCGCTGCAGTAAACGCAAGACTGGCACACATCAAGCGAGTAACCGCTGCAGTAAACGCGAGACTAGTAAACTGACGGGTAGTTTTCATGATCAAGAAAGAGGCATTCACGACCTTATACGCGGCATATTTCAGGCCCATGTTGGAGTATGCATCGCTAGTAATGAACCCGCATCTGATAAAGCATATATAGCTGGAAAACAATGCGCATGTTTGCAACAAAATTAGTCCCAGAGATGAGGTGAATGAAGTATGAGGAAAGGCTAGAGGAGCGAAACCCGCGACATTAGAGGGGAGAAGAGTCAGAGGTGACATGATTACGACGTACAAAATACTGAGGAATTGACAGAATGGACTAGTCTCAGGTACACAAGGTCACAGGTGGAAGCTGAAAGTACAGATGAACCATAAGGATATTACGAAATACTTTATCATCCATAAAGTGTTCAGGAATTGGAACGACCTAGACAACCAAGTGGTAGAGGTAGAATGCATACACAGCTTTAAGAATAGGTATGACAGAGCTCATGCAACCAGGAATGAAATTGGCAGCGGCCAGCATAGAGGCAGTGCCAGGAGCTAAGTCTCGACTCCTATAACCACAAATTAGTGAAATCAATTAGGTAAGCATATATACATACACAAAGAGGTGCAATATAAAGCTCACGGAGCAGGGAGAGAGTGGATATAGTAACCACTAGCGAGCGAAGAGGCGGGGCCAGGAGCTGTGAATCGACCCTTGCAACCACAAATAGGTGAGTACACACACACACACACACACACACGCGCACGCACGCACACAGACACACACACACACACACCACACACACACACACACACGCACGCACGCACCACACACACACACACACACACACACACACACACACACACGCACGCACGCACACACACACACACACACACACACACACGCACGCACGCACACACACACACGCACGCACACACACACACCACACACACACACGCACACACACACACACACGCACACACACACACACACGCACACACACACGCCGCACGCACGCACGCACGCGCACACACACACACACACACACACACACACACACGCACGCACACACACACACACACCACACACGCACGCACACACACACACACACACACACACACACACACACACACACACGCACGCACCACACACACACACACACACACACACACACACACACACACACACACACTTGTGGCTACAACATATCACACTTGCAGAAAAAAACAGACGAATTTTCATGGAATTGTTAAAGAA